ATAGCTTGCAAGAAAATTTGAAGTCTGAAGTAGTTTTGTCCTGGTGTTATATATTTTAGTTTTCAATGCTGTCCGAGATGAAATTTTCTACTTTGACAGTATAAACCTGGGGCGTTGAAATAAAGAGTGAAACATGTCATAATGGCCATGTTTAATTTTCTAGGATATTTATGGTTTGTTGTTTTGTGGGTTCGAAGGTTTGTTAAGGTATTATTTGGATGAATTTAGAGGGAAATAGACTGTAGGAGAAACCTAAAAAAATAAAAGCCTATACTTCATTAATAATATTTTGCTATGCTTCACTTGATCTGGTTGATGAATAAAGTGTTAATCCAAAATTGAAAAGCAGAATTTGTTCCTGTTTATCTGGCTCCTAATGTTTGTCTTGATATGGTAAAAATTGGACAATGATTAAGGAACATTTTTTTTTAAGAAGATCATAAGAAAGAATGGAAGAAACATATCTAGCTGATTATTCTTTCATCTTTAATTATGGAAAAATAGCAAAATGCTCTTCTAATTAAAGTGGAATTTTTTTCTCCTTGTGTAAATAATTCAAAGGTACCCCAATTTTAAAATATGTAGTAACTATATTTTATATCCCACACTTAATCAATGCGGACCTAGATGATCTGTCAATGATCATGACTTTATTAAATTTATTCTGTCTGTCATTAGACTTTTTTGACATTTTTCTCATTTACCCATTGCCCAAAGTTATGATATATATTCTAAATAAAGTTTAATTAAAAGCATACTTCAGTAAAAATAACGATTAAGATTTACTAACCACACATCGGTGGTATCCCCTAGTGCATATAGTAAAGATATTCATAAGTTCTTGGATACTTACATCTTCTCAAGCAAACTGACTGAACTGCAGTAATCCGGGTCATTGTTGTAGAGCCACTCCCAATAATTCAGTTCAAAACCCATAAGCATTTGAGAGTAAATATCTGAAGCAGAGAGGCCTGAGATATTGGATAGCATGACCGGAAACTGAGCTTCAATTCTGCATGATTCATTGAAATCCGAAAGCTTTGCTTGGTTATTGAAAAGGAAAAAGTAGGTGTGCGGAGAGGAAGGGCTATTGGTGCAATTAGAGGCATCCACATAGAGTGGTGAGCTAATCGGCATATTGCAATTTAGAACATGCATGATGCTATTCTCAGTTATATTCCTAAATGAAGGCCCATTCTTATCCGGCCAACATAGTAATTTAAGAAGAGGGTAGTAGTAGGGAATGGAACATTTATTCCTATCGAGACTGGCATCCACCACTCGAACTGTTCCATTCTCACAAGAGATTTCCTCCACTGAGAAATTTTGGTATGCACTAAGTTCGTGAGGCAGAGTGGTGCGGTTGTTCTTGCAAACTAGTTTAGACCGTGGGAAACAACATTCATTAGGATCACTAAGTAATCGGGAAGGGAAATCTATAGTGAGGTTTCCACAAGAAGAAGGGACGCAACCAGCCATACAAGCATCAGGAAAAAGAGACATAACAAGGGCCATGAGGCCGAAGAGTACCACAACTTTTGCTCTAACGAACATCCTAAAGCCAGAGTATTAGAGCATGAGGTTTTCTTAAGGATATAATATAGGAAAAACTCTGATGATAACAGATACGAACCTATTACGCCTCCCACAAAAAAAGCAGAAGAAGAAGATAGCACCCAGGGCAAACTAGGTGGCTCTCAAAGGCAATAAAGCAAACACCTAGAATCCATATTGCCTAAACTGATGGGATTACTACATAAAGAAGCCTTCAAATTGCTGCTTTGGCTGACTTTGATTTTTAAAAGGATTGGAATAGTAGGTTCACCTAACATGTTGTTTTAACCTCAATGGAAAAAGGAATCCTAGAATTTTCTTCACATAGTTATTACCCAATATGCAGCTTCCATGGAACTTAATTTAGCGGGCCAATAATCAACTGGAGAGACCCAGCACAGCTAAATTTCTAATCAGAAGCTCTGAAGTAGTTTCCATCAAGTTACCGCGTGTCTACCCCACAGCCTACGTTTTTTTTTTTTTTTTTTTTCTTTTGGAACTACAGTAATTGGGCGGTGAGACGGGGAGGGGACCATATCATAATTGTGGGGTGGGGCCTCAACTCCACAACACACACGCCAATCCTGGAGCAAAGTGGCGAATATTTGTGCCATCGCAGAAATTTCATAGCAGAACTAATGACAAAGGAATTCCTACTTTGAAAAATCAAAAGCCCGCGAATCCTCCCTGCGCCTTCCAAAACCTCATGCTCATTGTATAAGGTACACAGCTTCTTCTTCCGTTCTGATAATTGTATCCTAAATCACACTGAATCTTGGATTCAAAGACTTCAGGGATGGAAAGTTTCTTCAGGATGATTCTTTTGCTTTTTTGCTTTATCTTGATAGTGAGGGTTACAGAGCTCCATGCTGCCAGAGATGAATGCCAACCCACAAAATGCAACGACGTTACCATCCGATTCCCATTCCGACTTAAGGGGCAGCAACAACCGGAAAACTGCAGCTATCCTGGATTCGAACTATCCTGCATAGACAAAAAGCAAACTGTGCTAGAGCTGTCGCGAAATGTGAAGTTTTTCGTGAAGCGTATAGATTACAGAGCGCAATGGATTCAGTTATACGATCCCCAGGGATGCCTCGTGCGGCAGCTTCCCAATAATTTATCTGCATCTCCCTTCCAGGAGGACAACAGACACACAATCGGCCTTAACATCAATATTCCTCAAGAATACACAATTTTCAATTGTTCTGGCGAAGGACAAATGCCAGATAGAGATGAATATTACACAATTCCTTGCTTAAGCATCCAAGGATTCCAAGTTCTAGCTATTACTTCCGATTATGGTGCTGTTAGTTTGTTAAATTGCACCAGAAAGTTATTAAACATTTCGGTAACAGAAGGGTTTGAAGGCATGTTGTATAACCGGAGGAAGGATGTTCAGTTGAGTTGGTCCAAACCAAACTGTACCATATGTGAAGAGGGAGGCAGGAAATGCAAACTGAAGAAAAATAATAGTACTACAGAGGACGAGACAGAGTGTTATGGTAGATCCAAGAAACAAAGAGGTATGGTTTTAAGTTCTAACAATTCCAAATGTTATGAATGCCATCAATGCTCTCTGAGTTTCATTTGTCTTCCTTTAAGTTTCTAGCAGTTACTTGTTCTGTTGCTTTAAATGTTTTTTCTTTTGATTCTGAGACAAACATCTAGTTTAAAATTTTACATCCCTGGCCATTGGGCAAAACTCTGATACCTCTGTTTTGTCATATCAGATTGTAATAGATTTGTAGAACATATCAAGAATCTAACTTTGGAATCTTTTACAGATAGACCGAAACAACTGATGGCTACAGGAATAATCCTAGGTTCCTGTCTTCTTGGAATAATTCTCTTTGCACTTCACCGCGTCAACCATTCATATAAAGCAGAGAAAGAGGGCCAACTCAAGATTGAAAATTTTTTGGAGGATTACAAAGCTCTCAAACCCTCAAGATATTCTTATGCTGATATCAAGAGAATAACAGATCAGTTCAAGGACAAACTTGGAGAAGGGGCCTATGGAA